TGGAGTTTTGACCAAACCTGGAGCAGGAACCAGCAAGCCACCCCAGTATCCCTGCCAAGAAAACTCCATGGACAAAGACAACAGGCATATGAAAGTTATGACGCTGGAAGATGAGCCCCTCAGGTCGGAAGGCGTCCAACATGCTGCTGAGGAAGAGCAGAGGACAAGTACAAGTAGATTCAGAGCTGATGAAGCGGCTAGGCCAAAGCCGAAAGGACGCTCAGTTGCGGATATGCCTGGAAGCGAAAGGAAAGTCCAATGCTGTAAAGAAAAATATTGCATAGGAACCTGGAATGTAAGAACCATAAGTTGGATGTGGTCAAAAATGAGATGGCAAGAATAAATATCGACATCCTGGGCATCAGTGAACTAAAATGGACGGGAATGGGCGAATTCAGTTCGGATGACTATCATATCTACTACTGTGGGCAAGAATCCCATAAAAGAAATGGAGTGGCCCTCATAGTCAACAAAAGAGTGTCAAAAGCTACATCCCAATCCCAAAGAAGGGCAGTGCCAAAGAATGCTCCAACTACCGCACAATTGCACTCATTTCACACGCTAGCAAGGTTATGCTTAAAATTCTACAAGGCAGGCTTAAGCAGTATGTGGACCGAGAACTCCCAGAAGTGCAAGCTGGATTTCGAAGGGGCAGAGGAACCAAAGACCAAATTGCAAACATTCGCTGGATTATGGAGAAAGCTAGAGTGTTCCAGAAAGACATCTACTTCTGCTTCATTGACTATGCAAAAGCCTTTGACTGTGTTGACCACAGCAAACTATGGCAAGTTCTTAAAGAAATGGGAGTGCCTGATCACCTCATCTGTCTCCTGAGAAATCTCTATGTGGGACAAGAAGCTACAGTTAGAACTGGATATGGAACAACTGATTGGTTCAAAATTGGGAAAGGAGTACGGCAAGGCTGTATATTGTCTCCCTGCTTATTTAACTTATATGCAGAATTCATCATGCGAAAGGCTGGGCTGGATGAATCCCAAGCCGGAATTAAGATCGCCGGAAGAAATATCAACAACCTCAGATATGCAGATGACACAACCTTGATGGCAGAAAGTGAGGAGGAATTAAAGAACCTTTTAATGAGGGTGAAAGAGGAGAGCACAAAATATGGTATGAAGCGCAACATCAAAAAAACGAAGATCATAGCCACTGGTCCCATCACCTCTTGGCAAATAGAAGGGGAAGAAATGGAGGCAGTGAGAGATTTTACTTTCTTGGGCTCCATGATCACTGCAGATGGTGACAGCAGTCACGAAATTAAAAGACGCCTGCTCCTTGGGAGAAAGGCGATGGCAAACAGTCTGTGAGCACCTAGAAAGGAATGCTGTGATCACCAATAGTCAGCATGGATTTCTGAAAAATAAGTCATGTCAGACTAACCTGATCTCGTTTTTTGACAGAATTACAAGCCCGGTAGATGAAGGGAACGCAGTGGATGTAGTCTACCTTGATTTCAGCAAGGCATTTGACAAGGTGCCCCATGATATTCTTGTAAAGAAGCTGGTAAAATGCGGTCTTGACTATGCTACCACTCAGTGGATTTGTAACTGGCTGACTGACCGAACCCAAAGGGTGCTCATCAATGGTTCCTCTTCATCCTGGAGAAGAGTGACTAGTGGGGTGCCCCAGGGTTCTGTCTTGGGCCCGGTCTTATTCAACATCTTTATCAACGACTTGGATGATGGACTCAAGGGCATCCTGATCAAATTTGCAGATGACACCAAACTGGGAGGGGTGGCTAACACCCCAGAGGACAGGATCACACTTCAAAACGACCTTGACAGATTAGAGAACTGGGCCAAAACAAACAAGATGAATTTTAACAGGGAGAAATGTAAAGTATTGCACTTGGGCAAAAAAAATGAGAGGCACAAATACAAGATGGGTGACACCTGGCTTGAGAGCAGTACATGTGAAAAGGATCTAGGAGTCTTGGTTGACCACAAACTTGAAATGAGCCAACAGTGTGACGCGGCAGCTTAAAAAGCCAATGCAATTCTGGGCTGCATCAATAGGAGTATAGCATCTAGATCAAGGGAAGTAATAGTGCCACTGTATTCTGCTCTGGTCAGACCTCACCTGGAGTACTGTGTCCAGTTCTGGGCACCACAGTTCAAGAAGGACACTGACAAACTGGAACGTGTCCAGAGGAGGGCAACCAAAATGGTCCAAGGCCTGGAAACGATGCCTTATGAGGAACGGCTAAGGGAGCTGGGCATGTTTAGCCTGGAGAAGAGGAGGTTAAGGGGTGATATGATAGCCATGTTCAAATATATAAAAGGATGTCACATAGAGGAGGGAGAAAGGCTGTTTTCTGCTGCTCCAGAGAAGCGGACATGGAGCAATGGATCCAAACTACAAGAAAGAAGATTCCACCTAAACATTAGGAAGAACTTCCTGACAGTAAGAGCTGTTCGACAGTGGAATTTGCTGCCAAGGAGTGTGGTGGAGTCTTCTTCTTTGGAGGTCTTTAAGCAGAGGCTTGACAACCATATGTCAGGAGTGCTCTGATGGTGTTTCCTGCTTGGCAGGGGGTTGGACTCGATGGCCCTTGTGGTCTCTTCCAACTCTATGATTCTATGATTCTAAACCTAGACAGCATCTTAAAAAGCAGAGACATGACCTTACCAACAAAGGTCCGTATAGTTAAATCCATGGTTTTCCCAGTAGTGATGTATGGAAGTGAGAGCTGGACCATAAAGAAGGCTGATCGCCGAAGAATTGATGCTTTTGAATTATGGTGCTGGAGGAGACTCTTGAGAGTCCCATGGACTGTAAGAAGATCAAACCTATCCATTCTTAAGGAAATCAGCCCTGAGTGCTCACTGGAAGGACAGATCCTGAAGATGAGGCTCCAATACTTTGGCCATCTCATGAGAAGAGAAGACTCCCTGAAAAAGACCCTGATGCTGGGAAAGATGGAGGGCACAAGGAGAAGGGGACGACAGAGGACGAGATGGTTGGACAGTGTTCTGGAAGCTACAAACATGAGTCTGACCAAACTGCGGGAGGCAGTGGAAGACAGGAGTGCCTGGCGTGCTCTGGTCCAGGGGGTCACGAAGAGTCGGACACGACTAAACGACTAAACAACAACAACAACAAACATAAAGAACTCTCATTAAAGTTGATTCATAAGCGGTACAAGACTCCTAGAAGACTCTTGTATATAAATTCATCTCCACTCCTAAGGTGGTGGAGGGGATGTTCAGAAATTGGATCGTATCTCTACCTATGGTGCAGCTGTACTGGAGTTCAATAAATTTGGGCAACATTATACAGAGACATTGATAAGATCTTAAATGGTCGTATTACCCCAACTTCTCAATTATCCTTTTTATATATATGTGATGAGGGTAATCAAATTTTACATAATATTTTGGTTTTGGGGGTCGAACATGCACAGAAACGCCGAATCGCAACCCGCGCATGCGCAGACACACCACTGTGGGTTGCAAACATGCATCCCGCACAGATCACGTTCACATCCCGAGCGTCCACTGTAGTGATGGAGCCTCTTGAATTTCAGTAGGGAGGGCATTCCACCACATGATCACAAGGTCATGGAAGTATTTCTGAAGCCTGATAATCATTCTCACATATTTCCTTCGCTCTCCAGCCATCGCTAATCGTTCTTTTCAGTTGAAGACAAATTATGGAACATTTCCCCAAAGCTGTTAATTGGAACTGTACATCATCAACACACACTTCTTCCAAAACCTTCTTTCTACAAGACTGGACAGGAGGAGGGTTGGAAGAACAAGGTCACCCAAGAATTTCAAATATGCACTGTACCAAACAGCCAACCACACAGAAATAAAGAGAAAATCACCTTGGCAAAGTCTTTTATTTCAAAAGGAAGTTTCTTACAGGAGTTCAGGATCTCTACTGTTTTCACCTTAACTTCAATATCACCTGTAGGCAATCTCTAAAAATGAACAAGAAAGAGAAAAATAATCACCACTATTTTTACATACATCCCTGAGATGATGGACCAATAGCTATCTGCAACTGTGCTATACTTCATTATTTTACTGGAATGTTTCCTGTTGGTTTATTTTTTATTTTTTGTCTCATTAAGCCTATCCAATGGAATGACAAACTTCTCTTCTCCATTTTGAAGATGGAGGCTTGCCTGGGCTTAAAGCACCCGGCCAGCACAGAGACAAGCCAACATGCCTCACCTCCTGCAGTTCAGCTGGACGAGAAAGGCCAAGGCAGGCTTCAAGCTCCCAGTCACCACTAGGCCAGATTCAACTAATTAATCCCATGAGCAGAAGCCAACACAAAAACTTCTGCTAGCACAACAGAGGTCCCTGCCTCATGTGGGGGATGTTGGGTGAACCCCCAAAACAGGATGTGGAAGAGAATAGCTGAAATCCTTGCGTCGACAGAACATTCACTTTAGAACAGTGTTTCCCCCGGGTGGTGGGGGGTGCTGGAATGCTCCAGGGGAGTGGTAGTAGCTTTGGGTGCAATTGGGGGGCGTTGAATAAAACTAATGGGGCAGTGGAAGCATAAAGACAGAAGAAAATTTTGAAAAACCGTTCATACATGTTTTATCGGTTGTGTAGTGACGCTTACTGCCAGGTCGGGCGCCATTGGGGGACAGCGATACCCCCCCCTGGATCTGGTGCTAGAGGTGAGGGGTTTTCCCGGGGTTAAGTGAACCCTTTTTGGCTTCACTCAGACCCAGAAAGTGGATCACAGCTTGCCTCTCTATTTGGCCAGTGGCAAGCAAATCAGTTAACTAAAAAAACAAATTGACTACAAATAACTAATCAGATAACTAATCAGAATAACTAATCATTCTTAACTAATTTAAGAATGCTGCTGACAAAAATTTGAACCAAACATTAATAAATTGATAGCAGCACACCAGGTTCATTCTTCTCATTAGGATTATTTTTAATGTTATACATAATTTTTTAAAAATATTATCCTTCATTATCTTAATTTT